GGGGCCGGGCGGGGGCGGTAGGGGGTGGCGCCCGGACCCCGCGGGGTCGCGCTGGCGCCGTGGCCAGCGCCGGCAGAGCGTCGCGGCACACAGTCGGCGCTCGCGGCGCCCGGGGCACGGTCGCGTCGGTTAGAGCAGGCGCCAAGCGGAGGGGTCGCCGTCGTGCACGCGTCCGTCACAGCCGCCACCATGAGGGGCAAGCTGGGCAAGGAGGTACGCGTCAACCCGCGCAGCAAGGAGTACATCCAGGGCGTCATTGGCAGGGTCAAGGACGACATCCGGACGCTCATGTCCAACCGGGACGAGCTGTCCGTCAACGCCTTTCGCAAGACCAGGGACGACCTGACGAACCTGACCAAGAACAAGGCGGAGATCATGACGCTGGTGCGCAGCCGCGAAGACCTGGCCGCGCTCATCGAGACGAAGAACAGCCTGCAGGCACTGATTCGCAGCCGGGACGACATACACGTCATCCTCAGGAACAAGGACGAGATCCTCGCCCTGGTCAAGAGCAAGAACGACATCTACCACCTGCTGCAAAGCCAAAAGGACCTGCAGGCCTTGGTTAAGAACAAAAGCGACATACAGGCCATTCTAGGCATGAAGGACGAGATCGCAGCGCTCATCCGTAACAAGGCCGATATCCAGAATTTGCTCAAGAGCAAGGACGAAATCCACAGCCTGGTGAAGAGTTTTGATGACATCAAGCTGCTCTTGGAGAGCAAGAGCGACATCGACTTCCTCGTCAAGAACAAGGACGACTTACAGGCTCTCATTCGTACCCGAAGTGACATGCAGACTATGTTGAGAAACAAGGACGAGATCCACGGCCTGGTGAAGAGCAAAGAGGACATCATGACCCTGCTTAGGATCAAGGATGAGGTGTATGCCCTGCTCAAGAGCAAGGACGACATTCAGTTCCTACTTAGATATAAGGACGACATCGTGAGTCTGGTCAAGTACAAGGAGGACATCCAGAGCCTCCTCAAGAACAAGGAGGCCATCCACTCGATAGCCAGGAACAAGTTTGAGATGCAAGCACTTGCTAGGAGCAAGGCGGACCTTCTAGCAATAGGAAACTACAAAAACGACCTCAAAGACCTCGTTCAAAACAAGGATGCCATTCAGAGTCTCATCAGGAGCAAGGATGAAATCCATTCGCTGATGAGGAGCAAAGGTGACATTCAGATCCTGCTGGACAGGGTATCTGAGATCCGCAGCCTTCTTCAAATCAAAAACGATATCAACTTTTTAATGAAAAATAAAGATGAGCTCCAGGCCTTAGTTAGGAACAAGGATGAAATCATGGCCTTGATCCATTACAAGGCTGAGATTCAGTCATTAGCGAAATGGAAAGAAGATATTCAATTCCTTATTAAATGTAAAAAGGAAATACAGTCGTTAACCAAATTAAAATTCAAAATTCAATCTTTGGTGAAATGTAAAGATGACATTATGTCTCTTGTTAAATGTAAGAATGAGATTCGCGGACTCTTAAATAGCAGGCATGAAATACAGGCCATGGTCAAAAACAAAACAGACCAAGGTACTATTAAAAGAGACGACGTTATGGCTCTTCTGAAAATTAAGGACGATATCGAAGCACTTGCAAAAACGAAGGATGATCTCCTTTCTTTTGTGAGTCAATACAAGGATATCGAAGTTCTTCTCAATGGAAGAGAGGAGATTTTCAGCATACTAAGGAGCAAGGAGGAAATCATAGGGCTTGTCAAGATGGTCGGCGACATAAGAAACCTAAGAACGGAACTGGACCACATGCAAAACTTCAGGTAAGTACCTAAGAATTTATTTTGAATTTTTTGAATTTGACTTAATTTGAGCGTGTACTTAATCGTTGGCTGCATCGCCGGGGCGGAGAAAAAACTGCAAAATTGCCAATGAAATTGTGTGCTCAACGAATGACTTCGTCCTTGCCTCTGAAACTTGTGTGTCCAGCCCTGGTACCCGACCAGCAGTGGGAGGCGGGCGGGGGAGGCTTTAATGGTGTACATTACCCGTAATCACATTTGTCTGTGTTGGCTGGCCATACGGGCGTCGTCGTGCACCCGCCCGCCTGTGCGCCAACAAGGCATAAGAAAACAATTGAGCCAAAAAATAATCCCAAAACTTAAAGTTGCGCCAGTTCAGAAAAGAAGGTGTAGTGAGAGGGGAGCGGGGGGAGTCCAGTTTAGGTGTCCCTAAGGGCCCAAGTCTCTTCCAATAAAGGGGGCACTCCGCCGAATGACACTGCCGCTGCGCATGCAATGCCGGCCGGAAGTCGTAATTCCTAAAGTTGGGCCTGCAATTGGCTAGTTGCACGTCGTTTTCCTTATTGTTTTCCACCCTGATGCACCGCCAGAGCGGCCCCTCCCAACAGGTGACACGGCCAAAACTACTACGCTTGTCACGTGAATATTCTATCAGCGGGTAACAATAGAAATTACATGTCGACGTATATCCAATTTGTATACGAATGTTTGTGAAAATCGGGTTTTTGTCTTGGCTTTACAAAAAAAGTGCCCTAGTTTTTAAATATCTTTTCCCACTGACCGCAGCTTGTGGTCAACACGCATGAGGGCCCGGCGGCCGTCAATTAAATTGTAATTACTGTACCAGTAGCTAGCAGGGCTGGGCGCGGAGGGTGGGCGTGGGACAGGCGAGTGGGCCTGATCTCGGCGCGCGCTGGTGCCTCAACTGGATTGAGTTTGAGCTCAGTCAGACCTGGCGTCGGCACGTCCTTGTTCTAGGCGAGCGCACAAGGTTAGGGTCAGGGCTCTGTGTGCACAACGCCCTCCTCGTGCACGCCCGGGTGCACCCACGTCGCCGCCGCTCCACTCTGGCCCAGGTTCGAAGACCCCTGTACCAAACTCTTGTCCGACATTTTCGTGAGTTTGCTTCTTTGTTTTTGTGTTTTGTTTTCGTCCCGAATTCCGAGGCCTCCCGGAAGTACGGGAGCCATCGAGATACCGCCCGTCCCGGTGTCACTTATCCGGGGGCCGCAAGAAGAAGAACGCAACTGAACGGACCTCGGGCGGGAGTTGGGTTATGTTCGCGTGACACAGGGCATGACAAATGAACACCGGGCCGGGTGAGGGTGCGCCGGCGATCCGTCCCATATTCGTTACCCCCTCCCCCACGCG